ACCATCTCCAAGCATTCTTGAATGATTATCTAGTTCCATTTCAAATGGGGATCAGCCCTGGGAGAGGACCTGTCCTAGAAGGAAAGGGAAACTGTTCTGATTCTCTTGGATCTATCAATCGATATTGATACCATCAATCATGGTAGTCTTCTTGATAGGTTATCTGGGGCGGCAGCTGGAAGTACTGCATTGTTGTGGCTGTACTCCCATTTGGATGGCTGATTGGTGCTGGAAAATAATTGCTCTCTCCTGCCAGTTACTCCATGAGGTTCTGTAGGAGTCAATTTTCTCCCTCATGCTGTTTACCATCTACGTGAAAGTGCTATGGGAGGTTATTCAGCGATATGAACGAGGTGTCACCAATATGCAGATAGCACTTGACTTTCCCATGAAACCCATATAAGGCAGAGGACATTCTGAACCAGTGCCTGGACAAAGCAGTGGACTGGATGCGGGTCAATGAACTGAGACAAGGCAGGGGTACCATTAGTGGGTGGTTTATCCACACTGCTGAAATGATTTTTAACCTGCTCTGGAGGAGGATACACTCCCCAAAGGATCATATTTGTAGTTGGGCAGTCCTTTTGGATCCAGAAATGACACTTAATGCATAGATGGACTCTGTGGTATGGAGCAGAGGCTCATACTGATGATGTCTTTATCTGGACAGTTATCTACACTCATTGGATTAATGCAATGCATTATACATGGGGTTGCCTTTGAAACATGTGTGGAAACATCAGCTGATCAAAAATAGGACAGAGAAGTTATATATGAACGTGATCATATTATGCTAGCATTTCACCATCCACACTGGCTGTCAGTCCATTTCTAGGTTTGTTTCAATGTAATAGTGCTAAACATCAAAGTTCTAAATGCCTTGGAGTGAGTCTTCCTGAAAGACAATCTCTTCTACACTAGGCTTATCTTAGGCAGCTCCCACCAAAGGAAGTGAGGTATGTAGCTACCAAGGGGCCTTTTCTGCTGTGGAGCCCTGGTTGTGGAATGAGCCTCCCAAAACAGCACAGCTGGCACCTACATTGTGCTCTTTTTCTGTGCTGAGTGACAATCTTTTTTTTCCCACAAGCATTTTAGATTTTCACTTTGTTTAAAATCTGGCTTTATATTTTAAACATTTGCCCTGGACACTGCTAGGTTTATTTGGGTATTTTATTTTTATACTGTAGTTTTAAACTTCAATATTATATTTTGTTGTTTTGTATTTTATGTTTTAAATTACTGTGAACCACCTACAGACCTCTGACTATTGTCTGGTATAGCAATTGACAGAGGACCCTTCCAAACTTTCTCCCAGGCAGAAACATCATTAAGAAGCCTGCCCGGAAGCATCATTCCAGCAAGCACTCATATGCCAAATCTCTCTTACATAGAGCAAGCCACCAGCACAGTTGCATAACAAGGACACCTCCCACCCTTGCAAACATGACTATTGTTATGTGTCAATCTACCAGGGACAACAGCTTATATGATGATTTCACTTATGTATGCTCTCAAGCAAAAAGGAAAGACAGACAGACAGACAGACTGAAAGAGATTCATAATAAGTGGTCCCGATCCAACTATTCTGAATGCTCAAGAGAATGAGTATGTGCCCTACCTGAAATACAAATTTATTGGTAGCAGGAGGGCTGCAAGAACTGTTAACCTTGAAAAGCAATTCAAAATACAGGAAGTAAAGAAGATAATCATGTTATTAGACAAAGGGGAGAACATGATTCCATGTGTGCTTCTCCCTTCAATTACCTACTGGCTCTTCCCTCCACCCACATACACCCTGGTTTCACACTGCTAGCTTATGCCAGTCCCAGGTTGCTGTAAGGAATATGCTAGATCCTAGGGCAGTGATGGCGAACCTTTTAGATCGAGTGCCCAAACTGCAACCCAAAACCCACTTATTTATCACAAAGTGTCAACACTGCAATAAAACCTGAATACTGAGGTTTTAGTTTAGAAAAAACAACTCACAGCAAGTCCAAGCAAATATATGTATCTCCCTGGTAGCGCACTGACCGGCCATGCGAAAGTGCGAACAAGTTGCGGCTAACGAGTCGCAGCTCGTGAAGTCATTGTCTGGCACCGCTACTCCTTTCCAAGCCTGCACATGGCCCCTATGTGCGCTGTTATCCAGTGCTCAGCTGCTGGGGCGACTTGGCTCGCGTCCCAACAGAGAGGGCTCTGCGTGCCCGCTGTGGCACGCGTGCCATAGGTTTGCCACCACTGTTCCAGGGGATCTCAGGAGACCTACCTGATTCAAACCCATGTCCAACTTAGGCGCAAAAAAACACTTTTTGGAACCTTGTGCTGGCAGTGAACTTCAAGCCTGCAGGCCAAACACTGCCCCCTGGGTTCCTCAGTAGGTCATATTCTCTTGCCCTAACCACATCCTTCTCCCCAGTCATTCGGTCCTTTACTGTCTTCTGTAAAATTTGCTCCCCATTCAAAAAAGCTCAAATACCTTTCTTATGGCTTAGTTACCCAGCGGAAGCCTTATGTTGTAATATGCTCTTAAGCCCTACCTATTTGCCTTTGGCCCCATCCCATTTTACTTTATGCCCCACCACCACTACACTGCATGCCACAACAGAGCTTCCCAAAACTTTATTTGGCCCTCAGGCTGAAAGGTTTTGAGTTCCCTGATCTAGTCCTACATTTTCCACTTGTATATCCCAGGAGCCACTAGGCTGGACATGCTCTCTGCCAGTTGTGGAGCATCTCCACCACATTTATTTAGGTGTGGTTAGGCAATTCTTCACATATTTACGTATCAGTAAGTTTCATGGGACACCATGTGTTCCATTAAATGCTTCATCAAGCAAAGATGAAGAACTGTGCATTTCTGTTGCAACCAAAATCTGAAAATATTTTCACCTCTCACGATTGCCAGTTTAATTGCTATGCATTTTACAAAAATAATCAGCGATTGAATAAAAGCAACACCCAGCAAAGTTTTAAGCCTGAAGTTCCACTCTGATCCATGAAGCTTAGGCCAAAGTATCCATAGATTGAAAGAGAATAGGCACGTTTGCTTTAACGGCCTAGAAAGTTCAGTGGAACTTATTCCTTAGTAAGTGTGCTTAGGATCGTCTATAAAGATGATTCACACTGTTTTAAACAATCTGACCATCCGGGGCGAAGTCTAGATAATGCGAGCTACAGCTACTGGGAGAGAAAGAGTTAACAAGCGCAACCCAGGAGTACGTCCGGTAGTGATCCAAGCACGCCGGGTTGAGCTCGTCCTTTGCCCATACAAAGGCACCGCCGATGATCCAAACGCTTCTAGTTGCCCGATCACGGGAGCACATTTGAAATTAGCTTCCTGCCGCCGGCCCGCCTCTTGCCCGGAGGCAGACAGGAAGCTCCGTGGATTTGGGAGAGATCGCGCAAAGGGTTAACAAGTTCTTAGCGGGAGCTGGCCAAAACATGACGTTTTTTGAATGTGTTTGTGTGGGGCGGGTTAGTGGTAGTGTGTGCGTGGGGTGGGGGTGGGGGTGGGGGGACACTGAACCCAGAACTTGCAATCACGAAGAGTTTTTGAGGGCACTCGGAAAAGTCCATCGAAGCCAAGGAAACATTCGCGCTAACCAAAGTATTTCAAATAAATGAGACACACACTGGGGTGTTTCCCTTCTCACTGGAGGAGCAGAAAGCGAGAACCCACGGGGCGGAGTAGGTGCAAGGCAGCCCCAATTTGCCGAGGGAAGCGGCTCCCATTTGGCGTGTTTTGTTTTTATGCGCTGATACACGTTAGCATCCGACGCCGAAGGAAGCCGCGAGCCTGCCCAAGAAAAAGCCGGGGCGGCAGGAACGTGTGAGAAAGCAAGGCTTTTAGCCCAGCTCTGGGTGGCAAAACCGCAAGAAGCGCACGCCTCGGCAGCTTCACTCAGAGGGAAGCCCCAGCTGATTTCGTGCACTCTTCCGCTGAAACCACGCTTCGGGCGGCTTGTGCATCGTCCCCCAACCAAGCGCCCGAGAGTACAGGCTGCTGGAAACTACTCCCAACGTGTAGGAGGGTGCGGGGGGAGGGAGAAGCTGGAAGTTGCGCTCCCAACACAGTCGACGGACGCTCGATTGAAAGTTCCAACACATCTGGGGGAAGCGAGACGTTATAAAGCCGAGCACCTCACAGGGCTGAGCGAATCAGGCTTGGGAAAGTTGTTTTCTGTGTTTGGTCGGAAGGAAACTCTTGGTGACTTGCTTCCCAATCAAACTGCCCAGGTTCTTCCAACCTGCCCCTCTTACCCTTTTCCCTGCCTGGAAGCTCTTTGCCCGGTAGCCACAGTGCTCCGAGAGTGGGGGAAGGAATATCACGTGAGAATCAGCCCATCACAGCCCTTCCCCCGCCTCCTCAGCGTCCATGTGTCGTGATGCGGCAGCAACCCGAGATTCCACCTTAAGGAAGCGCGCTATTGCCGGGCAAGGGAGAGGCGCGAGGAGGGGGGTGGATTTATCAGAAAGCTACTTAAAGCATTAAAATCCCGATTAGCCAAGTCAGCCGAAAATCAGATGGCCTCCAGTCTCCTTCCTGGGGGTGGCGGGAAAGACTCCTTTCCAGTCCAGCCCACCATAGCCATTTTCCCTCTGGAACTCCACGTATCCCCCCTCTCTCGTCTCCATTCATCGCTTGGTATCTCCTCATACAAGTCACCTCCCCCTTCTCTCTTGGCCGGCCCCCTCAGCCCCGCCAGAGTTCTTAAGCGGGTAACCAGATATTCAAAAACAATACGTCAGCCCACAATGCCCTGCACCGAGCCCAGGCATTACCTCATCCCACAATGCCCTGCGAAAGAAAAAGGGGCTGAGAAGCTTCTAGGGGTGGGGTAGCCATGGAGATGGGCGCCTTTGCAACAGGCTAGGCCGGCCACCCTCCTCCCCTTGAGAGGCGGCGGCAGCCAATGGGAAGGCGCGGGGGTGACATCATGGGCTATTTTTAGTGGGTTACTGCTCGCTGATAAGTGTTGGGCTCCACGCTGGGAAAGAGCTCAGAGTGGGATCGAGTGTGCAGTGGGTGAGCGGCGGCGGCGGCGGGCGGCGGCAACTTAAAGCAACCGCGCTCTCAGCAAGCGGCAGCAGAAGGACCCGCGGCAGCCGGGCCGGTTTCAGCTCTCTTTGCGAGCAGGGCGCGCGGTTCCCCGAGCTGATACTGTCGCCGAGGCACTGCTGCTCGTCAGGGAAAAGGAGGAACTGTCCCTTGTAGCCGCCAACTTATAGCGTCGGGGGCTGCGCTCACTGCCGGACCGCGAAAGGGGGACGTGCCCGGGCAGCCACTCGCAGGAGCGACAAGTACTTGGCTTGGATCTGTCCTCGCCCGCGTCCCGAAGAAGTTGAAGCCGTGAAGCGTGGGGATCCCCCCCCCCGAAAAAAAGAAAGAAGGCGGCGGCATCGAGGGGACTGTTGTGGCAACTTTTTCTTTTCGGACAGCAGACCGAACTCCACCTGACAGCCTCTTCGGAAGAGTCAAACAAGTGTGCTCGGAAGCCCTCGCTGACACGCCGGACACTCCCACGAGCGGGGGTGGGAAAAAGAGAAAAAGCCAGGGGACTGGAAAAGTTGCTGGACCGAGCAAGCCTTCCTCGCGGCTCGGAGTGCTAAGGAAGGCGCAGTCCGGTGTCAAGCTCCGTTCGCCCGTGGATTCCTTGGCCGAGAGAGGCATTCCGCGTTTGAAAAAAGAACTTTTTCTTTGGCGCGTTGTTTTTTGTTTTTCAATTGCGTTTTGAGCCTCGCGACTTCGGAACTGATGATCCTGCTGAGCCTCCTTAGCTGAAAAAGCCACAGCGGGTCGCAAAAGCTTCCTCGACCGGAGAGTGTGGGGGGAAAGCTGGGACAGGCAAGCTAATGCCTTGTTGCAAAAAAGTAAGACTTTAATTGATCGGTCCTGTTTTTCCCCCTCTCCCTACTGAAAGAGCTTGTTTTGCTGTTGTTGTTGCCTTTGTTTTAATAGCAGTTGCTCCAAAGGGTGGACTTTGTGTGCTTTTTAAAGGGGGTGACAAATAGTCGCGTCCTTTCCTTGGTTTGTATTTTGGCTGTAGGAGAACAAACTTGTGGACATTCTTCTATGACTGCAAAGATGGAACCTACATTCTATGATGATGCCATAAATGCTACCTTCGTCCAGCCAGAAAGTGGTACTTATGGATACAATAACCCCAAGGTTCTAAAGCAGAGCATGACACTCAATTTGGCTGACCCCTCCAGTAACCTCAAGCCTCACTTGAGAAACAAGAATGCTGATATCCTGACCTCTCCAGATGTGGGCCTTCTCAAATTGGCTTCTCCTGAATTAGAGAGGCTAATTATCCAGTCTGGCAATGGACTGATCACCACCACTCCAACCCCGACCCAGTTCCTGTGCCCCAAAAATGTCACCGATGAGCAAGAAGGGTTTGCTGAAGGCTTTGTCAGGGCGTTAGCAGAGCTACACAATCAAAACACCATGCCAAGTGTCACCTCTGCTGCCCAACCTGCAAATACTGGCATGGCCCCGGTCTCCTCTATGGCTGGAAACAACGGTTTCAGTGCCAACTTGCACAGTGAGCCTCCAGTCTATGCCAACCTCAACAATTTTAACCCTAATGCACTCAGTACAGCGCCTAGCTACAATGCAAACAACCTGGGCTATGCTCCACAACATCACCTGAACCCCCAGATTCCAGTGCAGCATCCACGCCTTCAAGCTCTGAAAGAAGAGCCTCAGACTGTCCCAGAAATGCCTGGGGAGACTCCTCCCCTGTCTCCTATTGACATGGAATCCCAGGAGAGGATCAAGGCAGAGAGGAAGCGCATGAGAAACCGAATTGCAGCCTCCAAGTGCCGGAAAAGGAAGTTGGAACGGATTGCCCGGTTGGAAGAAAAAGTGAAAACTTTGAAAGCCCAGAACTCAGAGCTAGCATCTACTGCCAATATGCTGCGAGAGCAGGTTGCACAGCTGAAGCAGAAGGTCATGAATCATGTCAACAGTGGGTGCCAGCTAATGCTCACACAGCAGTTGCAAACTTTTTGAAGAGACTGAAAAGTAACTCTTGGAGAAATTAAGCAAAAAAGAAAGAGGCTCGGAGGTGGAAAAGCTCACTTGGGGGGCAAGAAGAAATGGCTGAAAGGCATTGATTCCAGCAAGTGCTTTCCCCTCCCAAAAGCATGTGTGGAGAGACTGGTGTGCTTTCTGGTCTGAGGTGGTGGCATATCAGTTGACAGTGCAGCTCTCCAAAGCACTGCTCCTGCTCAGATGGGGCACAGAAGCCTTGTATCTTTTTTAATGTTGACCAAGACCTGCATGGACCTAACATTCAGTGATCTTTCAGTATTAAAGGTTAAACTGCAGTAGACACTGTAGATCGCTTTCTCTTAGTACTCCTTAAAAAATAAAGCAAGGGAGGGTATTTGTGGGAGGCTAATAACAGGAGCTGAACTATACTGCCTGTCTTCAAGTCAAGTTGTGTATGTACATTTTTTTAATTTTATGACAGCTGATTAATGTCAAGTAAAACTACTTCATGACTTTGTAAGTTATTTTTATGTTCTTTTGGGTTCTGCCCAGTATTGTTTGTAAATAAGAGATTTTTTTTAGCAACCTTGAGTTTTCCATTTGTAATAAAGTATATAATTTTTTAATGTTTTGTTCTGAACAAGAAATGAAGGGTTGATCTTATTTAAGAAAACATCATTATCACCCACCTTCTTTGACTAGTTTTTTTAAGACTACAATCCTATACACATTTTGGAACAAGTCTCATTGAATTCATTGGGGCTTACTTCTGAGTCAATGTGCATAGAGTCTTCTGTAGGTCAGGCATATACAGGATCAACTTGTAGTTAAATGTTAAAACCAGTGCTGTAAGGGCTGGGTGGGGGTCGGAGCAAACTCTTCTATAATTTTCACACTCGGTTAGCCTGTAGCAGCAGCTTAAAGAGGCTTGTGGTACTCCTTGTACAATGAAGTCTTTAGGCTCTGTGCCCCCTGTGGCCAAAAAAGCATAGCTTCTGTCTGTTCTGGTCAATCTAACTTGTGACTTGTCTGGCCTACTTTACAAGGAGCTACTGATACAGGTTTAATTGAACTAAATAAAAGTGGGGAAAGAGAGCAAAATTATTTTGTATGCACATCCCTGTACAGTGACCTCCATTAAATATAATTGGCCATTTCCCATCTAGACGCTCCCTGTTAAGCAAAAAGTCCAGATGAACTTCTGATAGGAAAAAGTTGTTTGAAAAGGGAAACAAAAGAACATGTCACCTTTATGTTTTTGTTACTCTTACATAAAAGATGGTCTCTGTTCATGAATATTTACAACTATGCCTGTTGTCCAATAAAATTGTTCTATTACTCTTTCATCAGATTTGAATTCCTTTTCCCTCTTTTGGTTTTTGTTTTGCCTGTACACCTATTTTGCAAGATAGTGGGACAATATAACTGAAACTGAAATGATGTTCTTTGAATCTTGGCATGCAAAATATACATGCATTTTGGGGAAAAAAGCGTGATTGATTACTGTTATAAAGGCAGTTACTGTTAGAGAGCCATACCTAGTAGTGGGGGCATGGGACAAGAATGACTTCAGTTCTGCTGAAATGAATGGTTTTTACTTCTAGCTGAATATACCTAAGTGTGTGTCAAAGGCACACGCTTGAACTTGGTGGGTTTGAACTCAGTGAGATTTATAAGTAAACATGTACAAGGTTGGATGGCCGGTCACACTCATTTTGCTAAGCAGCATGATTGCCCATGTTTAGAGGAAGCCACATAAAGGCTGCCATTCTATGCATTCTTGCCTAGAACCCTAGAAGTACCCTAGAACTCAGTGGATTAAGTAACTATAGTTGAGAACAGCAAACATTTAATAGGAAACTCAATATTCAGAGGATCACAGACTGATTCTAAGAATGGTGGTTGTTTGGGATTTTTGGCAATAAGTCCCATTGGTCACAATGTTTTATTTTCAGGTAGGTTTAGGATTGTGATCTATAATACAACTATATGCACATTTACTGTGGTGTAAATCCCACTAAATTAACCAGGGCTTCTTTGAGAAAACTTTGGTTTGGTCTGCAGTATATTGACAAATGCTACTTGCTTGCTTGTCTTTGATAAATTTTATAAGTCTTTTAAGCACTAGTTTGGAGAAAAGGCTCAGCTCAGTTGTAGAGCACATGCTTTGCATGCAGAAGGTACGACATTCAAGCCTGGCATAAATCCAGAGAAAACCTCAAAACCCTGAGGACAGTTGCTGCCAGCCAGTGTCAAACCGAGCTATGTGGGTCAGTTGCCTTAACTTGATACATTCCTAGTTACCTCCACATTGATCCATATAACTTTTGACCTACTAATTCTAAAAATGGCATTTTCCTCATTTATATTAAAATGGTACATATCCAAAAACAAGTTAAAACCCTGACAAAAAAAGAGACAAGTCTAATCAAACCCTTCCCCAACCAGGTGGCCTTCAGGTATATTGGGGCTACAACTGCCATAATCACCCAGACAGCATATATTATGGGAACCCACCAGGGAAGAGAAGTCTGCATTAAAAGACTATTGCGGTGGCATAAGCTCTAAATCAGATACTTGCCTTCTGAAAAATAGAGAAGCATGAAGGGTGTGTGTAGTCTTGCTGAACAGAAATCAGTGGCCTATACTAGTGTAATAAAAGCTACCCTTCTGGAGGCAGGTCTGGGTAGGATCTCTGTGTCACAGAGGATCAACAGGTGTAACTCTTGAGAGGCAGTGCAATGATTTAGGATACTTCAGTATTTTAATTTCTGACGGACAGAGTTGATGACCTATTCAAGATACAGCAGCAAAGAGTGAAGGGATGCGTTCTGCCAAAACAAGTTTCCCCTTAAAAAGTTTCCTCATTGAGACACTACATACATTACAAGGAAATAAATTCTTAACAAAGTTGCAACTGAAGGAAGTTCTACTGCTATCATATCTCCTTCCCTAATGGCTTAGGACTCAGGGGACAAGCCATGTTATTGTCAGAACTTCAGCACTGTCTCACCTGCTGAATGTCTCAGCCTGTCAATGCTATTGTAAGAAAAAAAGCTGGCAGACCATGGAGTTTGAAAAGGTTTTCCAACATTTTCCATTTGAAGTGCTGTGTTGCTAAGTGGTATGATTAAGCAACTCTTTTCCCACCATGCAAAGGAGTGCTTTTGTTCAGATTCTTATCAAGGCATCTTTATAAGGAATAGATTGCATTAATACTAGATACCAATTTTGCTTCTCTTTTTACATACTGTCAGGTACAGTTTCAATCTATTATTTGTTTACTGCCAGTACATGTACATATATACATCCCTATCAATAACTGCCAAACTATGAGCTCCTGAGACGATCCCGAGCATACTGCTGACATTAGCAACGGGGAAGGTAAAGTTTGTTTTGACCATATGTAGGAACAGGCAGCAGAGAGTAACCCACACAACAAAGCCGGGTGTGGCTTTGCAGCTACTCAACAAGTGCCAACTAGCCAAATAAGCAGGGCTACGTGGAAAGGTACAGACAGCTCTGACTCTTAAACATAATTCTGTTGTAAAAGATTTTACAGTTCTAAAGTTTTCAGGCCACTGTGGAACATACTGCCCTGCTTTAATCACAGTGTGTATACACTCAGCTGACATTTCCAGGAATTATGATCCTTCTTGTCACACCACTCCTATTTTAAAGGCTTTCAGCCTGTTAACACTTTTATAGTCAGTTTTCAATAGCATTAACCATGTAAAAATACAGTCCCAAGAAAACTCCAGGGCAAGTTTAAAGGAAGCATTAAACATTTCACTGAGCTTTTCTAAGTCAAGACAAACATTGCTCCCATGTCCCGAAATACTACAAATACCAACAACTTGCCAATGCATGTGGGGCTCAGGGACAAAGGGACACATGGAAATGTGGACTGCTGGCTTTTGTTTCTGGCAAAGCTTTATGACAAATGCGGTAGATAAAGACTTTCCTGGCATAAAAATGCAGGGACGGCAAAGCATTATGACTGCACTGCAGCCGATCATGCAGGTGTTAATGCCACAGATGTTCTGCCCATGAAGAGGTGGCAAGTGTACAAAAAGGAGAAATGCTTATGTCCATTCTAAAGTAGACTTTCCCACATTGGTATCATCCAGATGTGTTAGAGTAACATTCCCATAATCCCCAGCCAGGTATGGTTTGGGAAGATGGGCCTAAAGAAAGCTGATTCTAACCCTACACATGGTCATTAAAACATTAAGAATATATAAAAGCCCGGCTTTGTCAGACTTAAAGGCACATGACGTCAAGCATGCTGAGTTGGATGGATGAGATTAGAGCAGTTGCCATGAAGTCCAATACTGAGTATTCAGCAGAGCTTTTCTTATGGCCTGACATTCTGTTCAATATTTGTATTGCCATATAGGAATCTTAGTAATCTGATAGCTCAGTGACAAAAGACACATTATTATCATGGAAATAAATAATTATGTAGGGTTGATGAATGCATGGGCTTAAATTGCCCTTAATGCACATGCTGTCTAATACTTGCCCAAAGGAAATAGGCAATGGTTCTTTTACAATTAATGGAAAAGACACTCATACGCCAGGCTGGGCAGGGAGCAAGCATTAAGAGAAATATGGACTTCAGTGACTATTATTTCCCATTATGGGATTCCGAATATCAGGCATATATTCCCCTATCCAGACAGAGAAACCCATGTGCTATCCAAAAGAAGCCATTGTACTTCCATTCCATTTTTTTTCTCCATAGCAAATTTCCTGTGTTAAAGGAAAAGAAGCTGTAAGAAAATGCAGGGAGTCACAAGTAGAGGTCACTATCATTTGGAACCCCAGTAAATTTTTGTAAATAAAACATAAAAGCCTTGTCTGGAAACATGTTTCACATTCTTTCCAATCAGATGCAATGCAGCTTTTAATCTAGCTCTCTGAAATGCTTATATGTAGATGCACATCTCTGTTTATGCAAAGCATGAAAACTGGTCCTCCTCTCACATGAGTTATACATGTAGCACATATATCAGCAGAGTAGGTTTTCTGTTTCTAAGCTAGTCAACATGCACCCCCACCCAAAATACACCAACCCACTCAACTGATTTGGAAGGATCAGGATTGAGTTTCTTTCTCCAGTAACAAATGTAGACAATTTCCTTAGGGAGATCACTCTGTATTTTCAGAACTGTATCTGGGGGAGTTTCTTTAACCATCCCCCCACACCACAGTAAACTCTCCATACCCTAAAGACAATTTCCACCAAACAGAAACAAAACCTCTCATTAACCCCACATTCCAAGGAAACTGACTCATCCTTGACCTTCTTCGACCTGCTTAAGAGCAAACTGAATTCCAACAGGTAGGAATGTATTGTGCACACACTGTTGCTTTCTCATGGAGAATGTGTGTGTGTTGATTGAAAGCACTGACTCTTCTCCAAGACAATTTACATGCTTGTAGCTAAGCAGAAAATATTGCCTAGTGCTAGGACACATGCTTTTCAAAATCCCTCATGTTAAATCCCGAAAGTGGATTTCAGATCATGTGGACTTGAAAGGCAACAAATTTGCAAATTTTCCCCTTGCATGGCAGATGTACTTTTGTAAACCAACACCTTGTCTCAGCCATGCATCTGCTATGGATTTCTATGCCAGGGTTTTCCATGCTCATTTGCTGTCCTTTGTTGCAATGGAGAATACCATCCTATCGTGGGTACATGGAACCAGAGGATGCCATTTTGTCTCTCGTCTCAGACCAGCCCTGATTTCAGGGAAGTGTGTTCCAATTTCTTCTTACTGGCAGCCATCAGAAAACAGATAGAGGGTCACCCTGTGAGCTTCAGTGCTGAACGGCCCTTGCCCAAGATCACTACCACACATTGGTAGTGTCTGGGAGAACTATTTGCAATTAATGACAACAATTGTACCCTCGAACAGCCAATGGTTTGTGTCAGTACCAGGCAACTTCTTATTTTGTTTTTGTTTTGATTAGGAATGTGCGCAGCTACCATCAGGAAAGCCAACACTGCAGCCCATGAGCTGTTTGGGGGCACTTTCTATACATATGTAGCACATCAGTGGAAGTATTCTCATATTGGTTCCATTCCATTGCCATTCAGGCAGGTTTAATTTGATCAGAGGCTATTGCAGTCTGAAAGGGACTGCAGGTGGTGCAGAGGTTTAAACCACTGTGCTGCTGGGCTGGTTGATCGAAAGGTCGCCAGTTCGAATGTGCACAATGGGGTGAGTTCCCGTTGCTCCGTCCCAGCTCCTGCCAACCTTGCAGTTCGAAAGCACACAAATGTAAGTAGATAAAAAGGTACCACTTCTGTGGGCAGATAACAGCGTTCCGTGCACTT